GAATTGGCCGTATGAGGGCACCCTCCCAGGAGCAGAGCTGGCATATAGTATAAGGGAGGAAAGGAGGTGTACCTTTCCCTTTTAATCCTTTCTCTCTTGTCACTTGCTTCTGCCATGAATGGCTGCTTCTTAGCCACGCCACTCCACCTTGGAGCCAACTGAGTATGGACTGAAACCTCCAAAAACTGTAAGCTAAATAAATCTTTTCTTTTTTAATTTTGGAGGTAGAGTATTTTGTCTCAGCAACCAGAGAAAAGTAACAAAGACACACACCATGATCCAGTCACCTCTCAAAAGCCTCACCTTGTGAATGCTTTGAAGGGAAGTCTACATGCAAGCCAAAACACTCCGAATATGAGAGAAAGGTATATATAAACATATTGGCCACATTCCAACTATAAGTGAAGTATATTTCATGTTTCCAATCTTATCTCTCTGCCTTAATTGCTTCTTTAAAAACAACCTGGGTAATTCTGAAGAAAGTCTTAAGTCAACTTGGCTGAATAGGCTTGACAATGTTTTTTCCACAACAAAAAGTTAAGTCAAATACTAACAAAAATTATTTATAAGAACATCAAAAGTCTATTAAATATACATCTGATGATTAGTTAAGTTTTTGTGGTAATGCTGTTGCAAAGGGAAATGCAGGCTTTTGGTGAAAAGATTTGTGTTTAACACAGGTCTAGGTACTTGGAGTTTTAGCATTTTAAGACTGAAATGTACTTTAGAGAGTCTAACTCAGCTCTTTTATAGATGTGGGCACTGAAACCCAATGGTTTCAGTGACTTTAGTATATAGCTTTGGATTTCCTGACTCATGGTCCAGATTTATTCTTTCCTCCCCACTGGAATGCCTCCTTTCTGCAGGTTACCAGCTGAATAAGTAGTTGTCTGTGGCATCTGTAATAAGCAAACCGTATACAGAAGCTAAAGAAACCAGTTGTATAGCATCTGCAGAATTCTGATGCTCTTGGCAGACGTAATAGGGCAGATGTCTGCTGTGGGATGCCCCTAAGTTTGGACTCCAGCTCTGTTGCATGCTGTTTGATTTTCAGGAATTAATTATTCTCTTACAAATATTCTTGTCTGTGAAATGGTAGCTAAAATCCACTATAAAAAAGTTTGGGCAGAGTTCTTAGGAAATTTAAAGTTTGCAGAATAGCCCATTATACCTTAATTGAAGTTTACTAAACAAACTTGTGGTATATCCATATACATTGCAGGTACTTTCTCCTGGTTACTCTTTCCAGAAGGAATTATTTCCACTCCTGGATTTCACTGTTTTCAGGTCCTTCTTTCTAGTAATTCCTAAACACTGTTTTCCAGACCTTGTTTCTTACACAGAATCTATCTCCAATTGTCAAATAATAAAAAGGGCAAGGGTTACTCTTAAAGGTCTTTAGTGAGATAAGTATTTTCATGATTTGTTTGAATTGGATTCAACAAACATATCTTGAAGATCTACAGCACTTTTCTATGTCTGTGCATTTCATTCTAATGTAAATTTTGTTTCCTCTACTTTTAAAAATCTGTAAAGGCAGCAAATTTATATTAAATGTAATAAAGCAAACATCACTAGCTCTTGACTCATCTAGTCGTCTTGATACCCATCCCTAAGCCTAATCAGGCTTTTCACCTGTGCTTCACTCTCATGGGGATCCATCATACTGATACTACTTCCAGAGGACACCTTGTGAATCTAGAAATCCAGGGAACAGTCCATGTCTCATGGCTCAAAAAATGTTGTCCTTGTCCATGGTGTTGATTCCAATGTAAAAGACGAGGGAAATGTTTCTCTTTTCCATGCAGTATTACAAGTGATTATCAAGAGCCAAAGAGTACCGACTTCCCATAGTCTTTTGTGTAAGAGAGACATTTCCATTTTTACCTGCAACCCTTCTTCTCACTGGTCTGAGTCCCTGAAGCCTGACTGGCTTTTCACATGCTAATTTCCCCTGCTCCCTACACATCCTTCAGGAAAATACGAAAGGGTCAACAACTTGTTTTCAAGAGGCCATCCCATTGTACCCCTGACAAATTTAAGTCATAGTCGAGGAGTGAGAGACACATCTATTCTCTTGTTCATCCCTTATCACCTCTAGATTTCATCCATTTTCCTCTCACTTTTGATAATCTGAAGGATTATTATTATTGTGATTTCTTTTCTACAGACTTTATTTCCAGTGCTTAATCCATATGCTACCATTTCTGTACTTTGAAATATGAGTGATTGGCAGATCAAATCAGAAATACAATTGTGTCTTTGTTGTCTATAAGATGGATTAACGTTACATTTTCTATTCTGTAAAATGTTTAAAGCCCAAAGTTAAAAGCTGTTCAGCCATCATGCTGTCATACCCACCCCAAATGTCTAGCTATAAGAGTGGACTCAGTGATCAAGTGCCGGATGAGAAATAGCTGTCTTAGGAAAAGGAAGCCAGGCTTGTCTTATTTCTCAGTACCTGTTGACACATGGCTCTTTGGGTACATGGACAGCCATCTCACATGTGCTGTGCATTCCTTAAGGAATCAAAGAACCATGCTGTACACTGGGCAGAGTTTAGTTCAGTGGTCATTTTTAAGTCCCTTACCAGGACCATTTCATATAGCAGTTAACTGAACGAATCAGTGAGCCCAAGTAGACAAAATTTTAACACGAATGGTGTATTACTCAAAGTCCAAAAAGAAGATGCTCTATTTGCTTTCTTCATGTTTTCAATCCAAGGTCCTTAAAAGATCAATGAAGACTCCTGCATATTCTATATCCTGAACTTTGGAGTTAGTTGATTTCAGAATTGAGAAGCTCATAATATTTGCCATAATAACAGCTACTGAAGGTGTGTGATTGCAGTAACCTGAGCTATGTCATCTAGGTGTCCATTTGTCATGTATAAGCTAGGATTCCTCTGATGGACAATCAATTTTATCTTTTTTTTAAAAAAAAAACTCCTATGTAATGACAACATTACTAAAAGTTTTCAAGGGATTCATAAATTGACCATGAAACACAAACATTTGTTGCTGAGATCAATGGCGAGGCGTCCCCTGGTTCCATTTAGGAGAGTTTGATGGTTCCCTTCAAAGAGGGGACTCTCCAGCACAATAAACACTTTGAAGCCCAATGTTTTGTCATCCTCCTGCCTTAGGCCTGCCTATTTCTGGCATAGATTAGCAATGTTTGCCTTTTTTTCCACTCTTTCTTTTTTTTCTGTATTTCACAATGAGGAGAGCTTTGCCTTAGTGACTCCCTCTGTCCATGTGAGGCCAAGCTTTTCAGATGGCTTAGGCTTTGCTGCTCCACTGTGTTAAGGCAACTTCATTGATGAAAGGCGGATTCCTCAGGGGTCTTTCATTGCCACATTACAGTTTTTGTGTTAGAACATCATGCCCCCCACATCACAGTGAGGCAGGCACGGCTGCCACCACAACTGTAAATTACAGCAGCGCATTAACTGGTCTTGGGTGGCTTTTTCAATACCTTTTCTGACAGTGATTAGACCTTTCCTCCACAATTCCTCTGCCTTCTTCCGGAGAAGAAACCAGCTTACGAAAAAGGGTTGCTCCTTCTTTTCTTATTCAATCATTTGGCCTAATATTTCCTCCCAACCAGCAGCAAATCTTCACTGTCAAGCTTTCTGCAAGAAAGAATATTTCTCTGGAGCCCCTTGGGTGAATTGGAAGTCATGGTGGAACTCCCAGGATCAAGGCCTTTCTTGAAATGGGACATTGTCAAGCAGGGCAATTGTTCCTTTCCAAAATGTCTTAAAACTGCTCTGTGGTTTTGCGCTTGTGGATAAACAATTTGCCTTTCCTATTTTTCTCACTGTAGACTCTAATTACATGACAATGAAAGAAAGCCTGAGAGGGAGGAATGGAGAATTTCCAGTGAGTCTGCATTCATGGACCAAAGAGAAGACAAAAAAATTCCATCAATGCAGAAACACTAGAACTGTCATAAAGGGGAAAAAAGTATTATTTGTTGCCAAAGGAATTTTTATACTTCTCAACTTCCTTTTGACCACTGCTTCCTCAGACAATGGTCTTCTGAGGGACTGGGTCTCTATATGACAAAAATTTGGGTAGGAAATCATGATGTTATTTCTCCCCTTTTTCTATAGTGGGTGTATGCATGTTGAAAATATTTTTGTTTTGTCTAGGTTATGACAACATCTATGTAAAATTTAATAACAATGTTACTCATTAACAATCTAAAGGGATGTTAACTTCACTCTTAATTGTTAAACTTGGCAGGAAATGAAGCCTAAAGTGCCTGCTCACGTGGGCACACACATAAATGTCACGGGACTCATAAAGTACTTTCACAAAAGATTTCCTCTAGCAAAACATAAAAACAAAATACTAAGACAAAATAATAAGTATAAAGCAAAACTGCTAACAATTCTCCTTTTCTAATTTTGTTAAAAAAACTGAAGCTTTCCTACTGCAGTATAAAGGGACTGAGATAATTCACATGAATTTGGGATTTCAATTGTATCTTCCACACTCATTTCAACTCCATGTTTCCCCCTCGGTCCATGAGAATATTAACACAATAGTGGAACTACAGGAAAGAACAAAAGAAGCATCAGTTTAGATTTGATTACAGACTAGGTTTGAGATTTTAGTTCCAATTAATGTGAGTTCGCTTTGCCTGAGATTCCTTGGCAAAAGCTGAAATAATATCTACCTCAAAAGGTAGTTAAAACGTATCAGATGAAGGGACACCAGGAGATTTTTGTTTCTGTGGCATCTGTGGACATTATTGTGTCCATATAACCTTGAGGATGGGAACAGATACTATACAAAAACTGTGGCAGAAAAAGTTGAAGAACCAATTCATTCTTGACTTTACTTCTGATTCTGAATGGGTTAGGTTGGTTGCAATACGAGGACTACATATGTTTCTTTTACGTATGTGTAATTCTCTAGCTTTTCATTGCTCTATGCAATCCTAGAAAGGAAAATAAGAAGAAAGGAGAGAAGAAAAGAAGGAGGAGGAAAGGAGAGAAGAAATGAATGTCTTTATTTCCTGCAAACAGTTGCCACTACAGTTAGAGAAGTAAGAAATTAACAAAATGAATAAATATTGCTGACCCAAGCATCTGCAGTTTATTACAAGCCTCTGCTATGGCAATTGTAGGTTCTTTTTCTGCTTGAGCTCTCTCACTCCACACTTTAAACTCTCCTTCATATTCAGGCTGTTCTTCATCCTCTTCTAGATAATTACCCAGCAAAGAATGTGGCAATGTGTGTGCAAAGTCAATGTTGGAAAAATCAATAAATAAGACATAAAATAAAAATAAAAATAAATACATCCCAAACAGGTCTTTTTATTTAACATAAGGCCAAAGAAGCTATCAGGCGCTGCTGAATACTGTCCACTAGCTATACAAAATATGGTCTGCATGCCTCGCAAACACCAAAATATCCGCTGGAATGCCATAGAAATAAATAACTTCTGCTATAAACACATGAAAACATATCAAACTGTTATTTCTTTAAACATATTGTAAATAAAAAAAATTACCAGTACTTCTACACAATAAATATTAAGAAACCATTGACATAGTTGAAATGCACTCATATAAATTAACAACTTTAATTACATTAGCCAAATAGACATTGGTTAAAGAACTGCATGTAGTATGCCAAAGGAAAAAAAAAACACAAAATAAAAATAAAACATACAAACAAACAACATCAACCACAGAACATTAAAAAAAAATTTAAAACAAAACAGGCTTCAGATTATCTTGGCTTTCATAATTATATTTTTCTTTTCAAGAAAAATATCAACCCATTGTCAATGCACTGTTTTCCAAAGCATTTAAATAGAGGGTAAAACCCATTGGAAATTAATACAGAAGAAATGATTCACTTTATGCATATAAATAAATAATAATATAGCTGAGACATGTAGTTTGTTTCTGCTCTTGAAGATGCGAACAGTTTCTAAGCATTCATTTTCTCTGACCCATATAATAGCTTCTCAGTAATACAGGGTTTAATTTAAACACATACAATGTCCACCCCCAAACCTGCCCACATTTATAAGTTTCATTTATTATGTAGGTTTTCAGGGTGACTAAGGTTTCTCTACATTGAAAAGGAAAGTTGCCAAAAGGCCCACAGGAAATCACGTTTTCAAGTGAATGTGATAATTTGAATCTCTCTTTAATGCAACTGAGGCATATTTTTTGTATTTAGAGTCCCCTCTTGACGCCAGATCCTACAAGGGCGAGAAAATCTTTTCCTTTTCTATTTCAATGTCTATATTTGAGGAGACTGCAAGAACTCTTCTTGACAATGGAGTGTGGAATCAATCTTAAATGAACTTGAAATTGGCTGGGGTACTGGGATAACCAAACCCCAGTAAGTGTGCTGAAATTTGTCTACTTTTGGAGGAAGAAAAAAAAAAGAAAATGAAAATTCAGCCTATAAAATCTTGGTTATTATGAGATATTGAGGACAAGTGATTTTTAGAGCTTCTAGAATTAGTGTGGGCAGATACTTGAGAGCATAGAGTTCAACTCCAGAGTAAAAGTGGCAAAATAGTAATATTAGATAGATACCCTCTTTTATCGTGTGTGAGGGAGTCTGAAGAACCCAAGAGGGCAGAATTTAAAAGCTTTTCATTTTGGCCTAATGTGGCTACGTGAAAAGAGTGATTGTTCACAAGGCTTTGTATCTTCTGAGATCCTTAAAGATGGTAAAATAATATCTTCCAACATTATGAAAGACGGTAGCAATTTATAATTCTATCTCAAGGCCATATAAAATTAAATGAAACAAAGTTAACATCTGCGGGCTTGCAATAGCCCAAGCATTTAAGCAGTTAAATTATCATCACATGAAATTTCACCTAACTCTGTTTATAATTACTGTGGCCACTAAACACTCCCCAGGTTTCCCCTCGTATGTCTACAACTTACAGGGCTTAACAAGACAGCAGATTGATTTGAGATGAATGGGAGCTACATTTAGCTATCTTTGTAAATCCTGTTTTTCCCATGGCCTTAACCTTCTGCACCATTGCACAGTGAACTAGGACATATATCCTCACACTATTTCCATAGGTTCCAGTGTCATTTCCAGTATCAAAAAGAAGCAGTTCAAAGGGCCCTCAAAGCTTTTTGTTAGAAATTCACCAAACCCAACTTCTCCACATGCATGATGCCCAGGGATGCTAGATGGTAATTAGAATCCATCAGGAGCTTTTCACACAGCGCAGACTGTGTTTCCTGCATAAGACAGGATGGGCCCTTAGAACAGAGTAAGTCTATGTGCCCAGAAACAAGACTAAGGTAATCAGCCTGCGTACCTCCTCATGTTACATATTCTAACTGAGTCTAATTTTAAACCCCCTTTTGTTATACCAGGTCTGATAGTTCATTCTCCTTCGACTGCTTTTTAAATTATGAGTTGACCCAAGGCTAAGAGCATCACCATTTTATAGAGTACTGATGAATGTAGTCTTTCTTAATTAGAAATGTCTTCTAATTTTTAACAAGCTTTACAAACTTCAAATAAGTCAGTGAAAATAAGGCTTTGTATTTTAAACACACAGACGAAAAACTTATTGTCGTTAAAGGCAAACAAAATACTGAAATAAAGTAGAGACCCCTAGCTTTAAGCGTATACTTTCATGTCTATAAGACAGGTTTTTTCGTTTGGTTTGGTTAGGTTTGGTTTTCTTGTTTTGCTTTGTTTTTGTATTTGCATCAATACATAAAAACTTACACACCAACAGTTTTGGCAGCAAATTAAAATATTAGAGTGGAACTTACTGCCTTCCTCTGTGCCTCCTCTTCACTGTTCTCTTCCTCAATTTCCACTCTCATTCGACACCTTCCTCTGAAAATTTAGTTTTTAACTATTTAACCCAACTGGTGCAAGTATTATCTCTCACGTTCAGACCCCAAACAAACAAACAAAAAGTATCCAACTCTTCTTCTGGTCTGAAATTCTGTTTTCTTTGTTTTGTTTTGTTTTTGAAAAAGTTTCTGATTTAAGATTGATTCCAATATTCCAATAGATAATAAATATAAAGTGAAAAAAATCAGCCCACAGTTTTGATTAGCATCTTGTTTTCCCCACAGGGGATAACTTGTAGGAGGTGGGGAACAAGAAAGACAAAGGAATTTGATCCCTGTACATTTAGAGAGGGTCTCACTGAATACTCACTGGAATTTTCAGGCTTTTGCCTTCCAAAGTTTTGAAATGTACCCACCTAGTTCAGAGTAAAAGCAAAAACTATAGCCTATCCTTCTTAAAAATACTGTGTTTTGCACACAAACATTCATTGCTTTAAGAACATTAAAAAAAGACAACCTGAAGTGCTTACATCGTGTATGGACATGATACGATACATGTATATATACACACAGGTATGCGTATGCACAAGCAATGTATATATACACATACAAGCATGTAATCTCATGAATTTGATTGAACTTGATATCCAACAGTGTACAACTACTGTACATCCAGTATGAAATGTCCTGTTTCATGGATGTCAAAAGAGTCAAAAACCAAACTTCTCAGGTCATTTAAGCCTGAACGTAATCCACCCTACTCACCTTGACTCTCAACCCCTGACTTACTGATGGTGAATGATACCAATCACAGACAGTTTAAAGGCTCACACAAATGTCTTTGGTGTATGTGTCTATTTTTAAGGTACAAAATAATAATAATAATTATAATTATAATAATAAAAATAGCTATTTTGTGTGCTGTAGCAGTTCTTTTATAGCTCACATTAAGTGCAGCTCTGAACCCCACCCCCACCCCCACCCAAAGAAAATACTTGTTAAATAAGGATTAGACAGGTCAAATACCATTGTAGTGCAAATAGTAAACGATAAAAAAAAACAACATTTACAAAATATAGAAATGTTTGGATCCAACAGATGGACAAACATATTCCTTTCAAGTATCTCTCCTTGAAGAAAATAAAAATTAATCAGGTTATTTCCAATACAAAAAAGTCTTTCTTTTTGTTCTCTCTCAGGTAAACAGTTTCAAACGTATTAGGTTGCATAGTTCTAAGATCAGAAGCACCTTAACGAATTGTAACTTGGTATTCGTTTTTCCTTGATCTTTCTCTCTTCCCATTCTTGTTATCAATTTTTTTGTTCTGTTTTTTTGTTTTGTTTGTTTTTTTTTGTTTTGTTTTGTTTTGTTTTTGTTTTAATGTTGGTTTTGTTTTGTCTCGCTGCAATCGTGGTGCAGAAAAAGAAAGTGTGACTGCCTGCACGCGGCTGCTCTCTTAGCAGTATGAGCATGTAGGTTGTGTGTGCAAATGCCTGTATGTGTATGCGTGTTTCTGCTGATATACACGGAAATAGTGTCACACAGACATATCGATGACCCGGTGATTGGGTGGGACTGGCCCTTTTAAACTCATGGCTTTCTAGACATTATTTGGGTTGTGCTAGTCTACATGAACACCACTAGACAAATTGATTTTGGGGTTCCTGAGGGAACCGCAGCAGGGAGGAGAGGACAATACCCCGTTTAAACAACTGATGACATCAGTTTGATTCTCCCTCCCATCTCCTGTCCCCTTCACTGCTTCATCTCTGAGCCCTGGCTAAGGATATTTTTTTTTTCCACATCTTCCTTCATCTGTTTCATAGGTTCTGTTTTTAGTTTAGTTTTGTGTGTTTTTTTTTTTTAATTTTTTTTTCAAAATTTCTATTTTTTTTTTTTTCTGGTTGTTTAACTCAGAAACCTTAAAAAAAAAAAATCTTCATTTTTGCTACTTTCTTCGCCCAGCCACTCTAGCTCCCTTTCCCCCAGGCCGGGTGACTAGGAGCACCCGCACTCCTCCACGATCATGTTCTGAATGTCTTTTTTGATGATGTTTTGCCCATCATCGTAGTACAGCATGGACATAGGTCTCAGCTTGGTGGGCACACAGCACGACTTGAGGTTGGCGAAGGGGCTGTGACCCCGCATGCGGTAGTGGTTGATGACCGTTGAGTGGAAAGAAAGTGAGGACCCCGAGGTGCCTGCTATGTGGCTGGGGCACTCACCCTCACAGTAGTTGGCGTGGTAGCCAGAGGGTGCGATGATCCAGTCGTTCCAGCCAATGTCTTTGAAGCTGACAAAGAACTGTTTCTTACAGCAGATGTTGACCTTGCCGTCACACTCCAAGCCCCGCCGGCGCCTGCGGTGAGGGTGATCTTCAGACTGCCGAGCCTGCAGCATGAGGAAAGGTCTGTGGGACTGCTCCTTCTCCTCCTCCGCCGTACCTTCACCTCCTTCCTTCTTCTTCCCGTCCCCTTCTTCTTCTTTCTTCTTCTTCTTGCCCAGGAGCACCAGGCTGGCCCCACTCTCCTGGCACTGCTCACAGGCAATCCGCATGTCCAGGGAGGTCTTGCCCTGGTCCAGCAGTCTCTGGATGCTGCTAGAGACAGGGAAGATGTGCCAGGTGCTCTTCCGTGCGTCCACCACCTTCTCCGAGAGCAACAGTTCACTCCTCTCCCCCTTTAAGCCCATGTCCTCAGCCTCATCGCCCGTGTCCAAGCTTCCCTGTGGGTGCTTCTGCTGCTGGAAGAGTCGGATGGTGACCTTGGTCCTCGTCCTGTTGGCCTTGGGAACCTTCAGGAAGAGCCACACTTCTGCGCGCTCCACCACGGACAGGTCGCTGCCTTCCTTGGAAATCTCAAAGTGCAGTGTCTTCCTGGCTGGGCCTGAAGGGAAACAGCACAAGAGAATACAGGGACATTGGTTAATTTGAATCCAGTCATGGTACAGGCAGTCCAGGCAAGCAAGAGTCTCAAACTCTGGTCAGCAAACTGAGAGCCACAGATCATCTGCTCCAGGATAGCCACCAAGCTAAGAATGGTCTCTCCAGGTTTACACTGCTCAAGAAAAATATTAAGTGACCTGTGAAATTTATCTGATGTTTAAGCCAGCGCCTGCACAGACAGTCACCCTGGACCACAGCTATGTTGCTGTCTTTGTAAGTTGCCTGTGGCTACATTTGCACTATATCACAGGACTGGGTAGTTATGAGAGACGTTCTGGACCACAAAGCCTAAAATATTTACTCTGACCTCTAACAGAAAAATGTTTGCAGACTCTTGTGCTAGAATGAAGAGAGCTTAGGCATCTGAGTCTTTTGACTGGCTGCTTAAGCTGTTTCGTCTTCCATAAAATGGGAATGACATGATGACATTTGACCTATTATTTCAGATTTTGGACGGATCAAGTGTGCTAACATAAAGGAAAACAGTTCGTAAGCCCCAGTAAGCTATTGAAATATTTGCACACAGAAAGACAAGCACCCTCTCCCGTGGCCTTCCTGCTGTGTGGGTCAATCTGGGCAGAACCTCCTGGCCACATCTCCTGCTTGTCAGCCCCTGACCTCATTCCTGGGTAACTGTAGCACAATATTCTTTATAGCATTGTCAGACCCCTCTCCACTGGGTTCTCCAGTAAGCCACTAAAAGAATCTTTCTCATGGGACTGATGCCACCTCCTCTTCCCAAGCCAACCCTGACATCCTGTGGCTCTCAGCATCCCACAGAGACTCCCAGCTCTGCCAGCCCCTGTCCTGCTTGGTCCAGTTAAAGGTGACTCCCAAGGGCTTGAGAATCCTGTGAGAGACTCTTGCTGCTCCTGCTGCCTAGGTACTCCTGGTCCTGGCCCACTCCCACCACACTGCCCCTCCTTCTGCTGACCTTAATAGTGCTATCTGGATGGCACTTCCTCTGGAAGCCTTCCCTCCCCTGTATCCTCCACCACTACTCTCCTTCCAAGGCTATTCAAGACATCTGACATCTGAGGGCTTGTCTGTCTCTTACTGCTAGAGCCTGGCGTTTAGCACAGAGTATGGAACTACTTGATTATTAACTAACCAGGTGTGGGGGTGCACACCTGTAATCCCAGCTCTCTGGGAGGCAGAGGCAAAAGGATTGCATGTTCAAGCTCAGCCTGGGCAATTTGGCAACTTAGAGATATGCTGTTTCAAAATAAAAAATTTTTTTTAAAAAATAGTAAGAAAGGGCTGGGAATGTAGCTCAGTGCAAAGGCCCCACATCCAAATCCCAGTACCACACATACCTACACAAAGGAAGGCATCATTAGCATTGAATTACATGAAATTAATAGATCCAGCCCCTGCCTCTCAATCCCTCCGTCCCCTTAGAATGCACCAAATGAGCCCCCCAAACAGATGTCAGACAGCAACTGCTATTGACCCAGGAAAACTCTGTGCATTGTCAGGGTGGCTCAATTCAACAACCACTCAGTCCTACTTGACTCTAAAATTAGAAAGTCATCTCTCTCTGTGTTCATATGCACCTGCACACTGATTATGCAGCACCATCTATTAGGTATAAGAAGCAGGTATCCCAAATCAAGTTCCTTGATTAATCAAGTATTTTTCCTCACTACTGGGTGTCCCCTGGGAGGTACACAGAGACATGCCTTTCTTCCTGACCATGTGCCTGCCCTACAACTGTCCATTCCATCCACACATCCCAGGGACAAATCTGGGAACTGTCTCCAAGAAGTTCATCCTAGAAGTCGCAACTCCCTAGGAGGATCTCGCTGCCTAGATTTCTATAGCTAACGGAAATCCAACTGTACTTATCACTGGAGGCCCTGAGATGTTTACGGTACTATAAATTTTAGGCACAGTTTCAAGTTCTCCGCAGCAGAAGGCAGGCTTCTCTGAGCACTGTGCACTGCCGACTCTGTTCTTAATTTAACACATTCTGCACACTGTGATTATGATAGTGGGAAATTCACAGAGGCCAGGGCCAAGAAGGGCTGCATATGGACATGAGGCGTTCTCTGGCATCTTCCTCTAACCTTACCACTGTGATGGCAGCAGTGGCTTGGGAGTTCCTCAGACCTCATGTCTCTGGCAGGAGTTGAGATGAATAGTAAAGCAGAGTTTATGATTTGATAGAACCCAGAGTGGGGGGCAGTAAGGGGGGAAGCTGCCTTATTTAGGAAGCATGATAATTTTGAAAAAAAAAAAAAAAAAAAAAAAAAACAGGATCCTGTCCTACTCCTTGCAAAGAAAGGGTGGGTTTTTGGTGGCTGTTTGTGTTTTTAAGAAAATTAAAGATTCCAAAGAGCAGAGTTGAATCATTTGTTATAAAATGGCAAAGAACACCTAGCTGATCTCTAGATGGCAGGGTCCTACTCTGTTAAGACCACTGAGAAATATCCCCAGCCTCTGCTGGAAAAGCATGCAGGTCCCTCCCTGTTGGCATTTCCACCCTGTTCCTGGATAATATTATCAGGCTATTTGCTGGGTTTAGGGTTTTTTGTTTGTTTGTTTTGCTTTGCTTTGTTTTTCCTGTGCATTTAGGCAGGACAGCTTCTAAAATGCTAAATTGCACAGAGCAAGTCACTGTACAGAGAGAGACAGTAGCTGCTAAATTAGAGAAGCCAGAGGTCACAAGGTTGCCTTTGGGTTTTCTAGAAAAAGAGCATGAGACCAGTACCTGAGTGGGCAGACCAGCAAGTCTCAGGGACTGTGCTCCCAGGTCTGCCCTGTACTCCTCCACACTGGGCAGGGGATGAGGTAAGGGGTGGGCTAGCAGCACTGAGCCCACATGCTGGACTTCTCACAAGTAAAGTCCAGAGCCACCTGGATGTTTGGGCTTGAGGGATAATGGAGGGTTAATCCAGTGACTGGAACAAGTGACAGCCACATGCAAATTGCTTTTGTTGGTCCAGTAAAGCCAGAGGCCAGAGTTTCCTGTCACATCAGCCTGCAGGCCAATCCCCCCATTTCGTAGGAATGGGTTTCTCATGTATAATCTGGCCCCACCCCATCTTCACAGGCAGCTGTACTTGGAAGCAAATGATTTAGTGTTCCTGGGAGAGGATTGTACAAAGAGAGTACTCATTAGAGGGGGCTCAATCTGTCAGGTGCTGTTATATTAGGATCACTAGAGTCATCATAAAATTACTTTCATGCTGGTCTTGGCTGCTAATTCACTGTAAGGCATCACCCATGTATTGTGGAGGCTCGGGCACTGATTTATGCATCAGTTTAATTATCTGAACTGCAAGACTCTGCTGCCTGTATTCGCATCCACTTGCCTGCATGCTTTCTCTCTCCCCCATATTTCTGACATTTGGATTTTCCCCCTTACTAATTGACATGCCTGCCGCCTCCTTCTCCTGGTGTCCATTTCTGGAACTGCTATTTGTATATTGCATGATATTTTATCAGGGGGAAAAATAAAACTGAGATCCAATTTCCCGAAAATGCTGTTTGCCATAATGCTCAGGAGGACAGGGGGAAGAGAGAGAGTCAAGTCTCCCTACTGTCTACCTCTTGTGCAGGTACATTTTACAAGTTCTATTGTATTCTGACTTATTAAGCAGTGAATATAGATATATATATATATTTTTTCTTTTACAATAGCTCATTACAGAAGGGGGTGGGGAGAATGAGTTGGCTGGAAGCTGACATAGGATTGCTATTTATCAGAGCTGTTGGTTTCAGAAATATATTACAGCCCTTAAATATCTCACGGATGAAAAATACAATAAATAACAGGACAACTTAGTCCATTCCCTTTATCTCTCTATTAGCTGAGAGAAGTCGCCATGTTTCAGTGTTACTGAAGGGCTGCCCAATCTGCAAATCTCTGCGCATAACAGCTTAAAAAATAGAAGAAGGCTGCTTACAGCTAAAGCATTTAGGATCAATTTCCAATCAGTTTCAGGGATGATTTAAATAGCTGGTGAAATAAAATCCTGAAACGGAAGCCTCCACCTAATGCTTCCTGAGCAGGTATGATGTTCATTTGTACAGGTGTGTGTTGGGCTCCTGCCCTATTTCTTAGCTAACTAGATAGAACTGGTTGCTTTGCTGATCTTTCCTTACCTACGCTGTGCTAATATTCTTTTCATCCTCTGTGCTTTTTTTTCCTACCCATGGCTTGTGAGCAATGCTTGTATCATAGCCTGCTCTGCCTGAGTAATTCACTAAAAAAATCCCACGCAACCCTATGTGGGTGATAATATCTCATCCTTTAAACCCCTAGGAGCATGGTGGACACATACCAAATGGGAAGAAAAATGGTGCAGAAAAATGAGCAGGGAGAAATCGTGTACTTTGTAGGGAATACCTCTGAAATGTTGTCTGGTGGGAGGGGTGGACAGAGGAAAGACTTCTGCAAGCTGGAAGTAAAGGTGTTTGCATTTCTTTCTCCTTAGCCTTCAGGGCTATCTACCAATTCAATCATGGAGGCATGCCAAGGGTTAAGGAGGAAGTTTCTTGCTCCCTCCCCCCACATTAGGATGCAAAAACCAAAACAAAACAAAACAAAAACAAAACACTCCTCATCCAAACATCCAGCACCTCCCATTTGTAGGTTCATGAATGCTTGCCATGAAATAAGCCATACACACATGCGGTGCTTTGCTCCTGTTTTGTTTTTTCTCTCACCAGGGTCCTGCATAAAGTGTGCTTCCCTTCTACATAAGGCTAATAATTGTGTCTCTAACATTAATGGGGAAAGCCTTGCTGTTTGCGGAGTATATTTAAATTCACCAGGGAGGAGTTGCTGTAAAAAAGCATCTGTTACTTTAATTTTCCATCCTTCGTCAAAGTCTCTCCCTGTGCCTAGATATGGTTTAGCTGATGGCAGCAGTGTAAGGACCTATCATTTACAGTGTGTGTTCACATCTGGACTGCATCCAGGGATCTGCAGAATGCAGCCAGTGAGGTCTTAAAGGTTACTTCTCCTTTGACCTACAGTAGAGAATCTTGCCTGGATTAGAGCTATAGGTTTGGTTATAAATTATCTTCATAATTTTTTTAGCTTTAATATCTCTCCTTAGGATTCATTTTTGAAACGTTGTAAACTTTCAGCCCCAAACATTTATCATCCATGCCTTTTCCATTAAATGGTGATGAAAAATGTCAAATATTTGGGGAGAAATGGGGGCTTCAGGTTCCTATAAGAAATAGAAAAAGATTCCCAAAGTTCAACCCATGGGAGATCAGAGACTTCTTCCAAAGTTCCTGTGAACGTTTACACTTTTGATTTTAGACCTAGGAACCACTGAAGGATGGAGGATTCTGAATTACAGCTAAGAGATCACTTTCAAGTATTTTGGAGCATAATAGAGGCCAAGACAAATATGTATCTTCGTGAAAGATGCCTGGGACAGTATAACTTCAGTTCTCCAATGTGCAAATGGTGTTTCTGCTCTGACATCTCCCCCACCCCCACGTTGGGAAACAGACTCCTCAGGCCAAAACCCACTATTACTCTCTAGCTTCATCTCCACACTCCCATTCTCTCCGCATCTTCAGATCCAAAGCACACACATCCTTTTCACCCCAACACCATTTTCTCACCAGGCGTTAAATGAATCGCCTTTTATTTCCTGCTGGAAGGCACTTGTCACTGGCTGGTGGAAAGCATTGATAAGGCAGGCGCAAAATCAGGGGAGATGGAAGGTGCTTTTGTAAGAGGAAGAGCCTGGTGAGCAAATCAGCATCGCTGATGATTCATGGTCATATTTCTCTCCTCTCTGCTTTGTTTGCTTTTGAAACACTCCTTTGCTTTCCATAGAGCTCGGAAAGGTTCTCACGTATCACCAGCACTCCCATTTCCATGCTTTCTGTCTCATTTAATATCTTACAGGTCGTCGTGCTCCTCCCATCCCACAAAATCCTAACTTTTTCAGGAGGATGAAAGAGAGTAAGACGGAAGTGACAGTCACAGGTTTAGGGCGCTACAGACTGGGGATTCCAGTAGGCACAACTGCTCTCTCCAGATTAACTGATAAAAAGCAAAAGTCTTTGGAACGCGCCCTCTTGTGGCCAGTTTTTCCCCCTTTTTCAGAGAAGAAAGTTGTAACCCCTAAAGATTCAGAGGTTCAGTGGAGGGTAATTCACAGCAAAGTTCAGCAGATAGGTGGGAAATGGAAAGGTGGATTCAATCGGCTTTAAAATAGCTTTCTGGGGGGAGGGGGACACAGAACCAAGCCAGACTTCTTAGTCCCCTCTCTGGGCATGGTATCTCCAAAAAGGGAAATTTATTTATATGCCATTTCCAGCAGCTACAAGGCTGAGGGAGGGAAGCACTATCCACTTCTCAATGTCTCATTTGTCTTTCTTTCCTTGTCCTTTCTACAATAATTGCTATTAACTGTTAGGTTAATTATGAGATTCAACATTTGGCAGGGATGGAGATTCAATGATATATTGTTATTATACATTGACAAATCAGCTACTGTCATGAGTCAAAAGCAGATGAATGATACATATCAGCCAGGGAGACCTCTGATTTTAGTTGCACTAGCAATTAAAGTGATAGCTGGTTTGGCTTCATTTATTCTTATCTCTCCTTTGAAGAAAGGACGGAGATGTGGAGCCAGCTATGCAAAGATTGCAGTAAACTTGAGGAAAAATTTGGGGTAATGGCTGTAAAAATGAAATCATTTTTATTTGTTGAATTTCAGAGCCTTAGAATGATTTCTCACTGCTTAACCAATAGCGTTCACCAGCTTCCCTGAGCTGGGGGACACTTTCTACCTGAGCAACAATGAATTTTAATGAAAACAGTTCAAGGGACTTTAACTTTTACTGCCATGACCCTGTCTTGACTTTATTTAAGAAGCAAGGAGGGGACAGACCAAGATTAAACATCAGTCCCCAAACTGAGGTATCATGGAGTTGAAAGGTATGTCTATAGCGTACTCCTAGGTGACACTTAGTGACTGCATTTTATGCAGTGCTATTAGTTATCAAGAAAAGAAAAATGTACGACCTTTACTATTCTCCAAAAATGTTGCCATTCCACATTGGTGGAAGGTTACTAAAGTTGAATTATTCCAAAAGATGTAAGCATTTACTATTGATTTCCATATAGCTGCCCCAGGCATTCAGATGATAAACTTGTTCCCTGGGTTGGCAAAATTAGCAGAAAAAACGCTTACATGTATGGCACTTTGCTTGGAGAAAAGATTGTCCGCACAGCAATCATGAAATCAGTGAAATTATATCAAATCAACCAAGAGTCAATGCGTACAACTTCTTAGAGGAGAAAAATCAGCAACTGTAATAAACTGCTTCTAAGAATCTAAAGTCAAGATGTAAACTCAACCAGAAGTTTTCCCATTACAAATCTTACACTTTTGTCAACGTGTAAGTCCAATGAATTGCCTCATTTTCTCTCTCACTAAACACCAGAGAAGGCAAGTAAAAGAAAATGACAAGATCCCATATAACTGAGAGAAAGATTGGCAATGAGATGAAGGCCATAAGTAAGAAAGAATGTAAATGGCCCAATTCTTTCCCTGCCAAATTCCAAACGCCAAGAAAGTGAGTTTCTATTCAAGTCCAGTAAGTCAGAAGGAGACAGACACTGCCAGTACTCACTGTCGGATTTAAAGTGTCAAACACACAGGTATCCTGCTGCATAGGATGCTAGGAAAACCAGCTGAAGAGGATCTGCACCTGAGTCCATCATTGATGAGGATATAAAATATATAAGGGTCCCTTCTGGTCAAGATATGGAGTAGCCCACTATACCAGTGAAACTTACTCTACACACAAGGCCCAGTGTCAAGAGCATTTTCTTTCCTAATTTCCTTCCATGAAAAGTTGAAGCAAATGAGGTAGCAGCTTAGAAACTGCCACATGATTCTTTTTCCTCAGTAAGCATCAAAAGATAAAGTCACAGGAAGCATGTTTTGCGGGAACTGCATCAGGAAAGAGTTGCCCCAGGAAAGAAAGTGGGACTTTTCCTTAAATCAGAGAGGCTTCTGGGGAGAGAGCCACCAAGCCAGGGAAGCTGTTGGAGCACTAAGATTTCTCCCACAGTGAAGTCCAGAAGCCGGCAAGCACCCTCAAAAGGATGCCCAGGTCTTATGCCTGCTTTCTTGAAAACAGAACATCTGAGTCAACAGGTTTTCAGGATTGGAAATTCTGAGTGTTGTCTTAACTGTTTACACTACTGCAACAAACTTTTAAACAAAATGCTGGGAGTCCCTGCACATACTTTACTGGCCATATGCTCTATCACACAAAACAATGGCATTCCTTTCAAATGGATTTGGCAAGGGATCCAATTCTTCAGCCTGGCGTTACCATGAAAGCAACATGGTATTAACACATCTGTGTGCTCCGCCTGCATGAGCTTGAATGCATTGGAAAGATCTGTGTCCTACAACTATAAAAACAGCCTGTCTCCAAGTCCCCAGCTCATACTTTTGACAGGTATTTTGCATTCAGCAACAGGTTACTCTGGTCCTGAGCCAATGAGGAGAATCTATTTATTAAAGTTCTTCCCCTTATGGACTGAGTTAGAGTTCAGCACAGTATCTGAGAGCTCTCTGTCAAGGTTACATTCCTTGGCACAGAGTTCTTAGTAACTTTACAAAAAACAAAACTTGAGTTTTGGTGTGCCTATGGGGGGGGGGTCCCTTTTTCTTTTCCTTTCTTGTTTGAAGAATGAAAGTCAGGCTCCCCAAAATGACCTCTGGTTCAATACCGACTGTCCCCCAAAGTAGCTTTTTATTGTCTAGGATGTGCTTTGCACACAGGGACAGAGATTTTAAAGGTTAAAAAAAAAAATGATTGTCACTAATAAATGTGCCCTGCCTCTCCGGTGTGGCCCCAGATTGGACGTTTTAAAGGGGAAGGCTGGTTTTAAGACAGTGACCTCTTCTGTACCTTTCTACCCAGATACCTGGGCACTTTTGCCCACTACTCACAATGAAAACTTCGGATGGGGTCCGGAAGCTACCTCTGCTCCCCAAACACCGGAATGTGCCCTGGCTTTTGCCCAGGCTGCTCTGATCTGGTTTCACAGGCAGGGGAAGGGAGCCCCTCACAGACTGGCCCGGAGCTTCCTCCCCCGAGATGGCTGAGTTTAGCAAGTGTAAGCTGGTCCTCTCCAGGCAGAGTCACCCAAGATTTCCCTTTCTGCGCCGCCGTCCTCTCCCGCTCCCCTGCCTCCTCGGATCGGCCACCATCCCCTCCTAACTAATCACCTTCGCAGGCAGCTCCCAGCTCCAGGGAAGAGAAGTTCCTCCCAGGACTGTCAAAGAAATCTATTTTCCTGCCCCCGCCCCACCCCCGCCCGCCAATGCCAGCACCGACCTGATTCTGCGAACGTGATGATCTCCGAGGTCTGCTCCAGCAGTTCATTCATTTCTGCCCTCCGGCCGATGTCATCTTCTATCTCCACGTACCCGTTCTCCCCCACTTTGCCCACATGAAGCTTCCTGATCGCGTTCAGAAGCGCCGCCTTGGGCACCGGCTGGGTGACATCGGGTCTCTTCTTCAAGTGCAGCACGTTTAAGATGTGCTTCTTAACGGCTTCCACCATCTCTGGCTGAGAGTTGGGTACATCCTTTGGGAGGGTGGCCAGCGCGCAGGAAGGGCAGTTGGGGGCTGCACTGTGCCCCTCGGATCCCGGGGTGGGGGAGCTCCTCACTATAATCCAGCAACTTGCCCACAGAAATCCTCGCAGCCAGAGCAGGGGCATCCTGGCAGCCAAAGTTGTTGTGATTGCCTCTTTAAAAGGCCTCGCTCTCCTCCCCCTCACGCACAGGTTTTTTTTTTTTTTTTTTTTTTTTTTTTTTTTTTTTTTTTGAATTTTTTTTTTTTTGATTTTTTTTTTTCTTCTCCTCTTCAGCAGATTCTCTGGAACAAGAGCAAAAAGTTTTCTGTGAAGTTTTGTTTGCAGGTTCTCTCTCTGAAGGCAGTCAGTGTTGTAGGTTTGTGGCTGTCAGGGAGGAGAGTTCTGACTGTCTCCGAGTAAAAGAGAAGAAAGGAGGGAGAGAGGGAGGGAAGGAGGGAGGGAGAGACAGGGTGGGGGGGAGACAGAGACAGAGAGAGGATGGGAGGGAGAGAGAGACAGGGAGAGAGGAGAGAGGGGAGAGGGGAGAGAGGAAAGGGGGAAGGGAAAGGAGGAGAGAGAGAGAGAGAGAGAGAGAGAGAGAGAGAGAGAGAGAGAGAGAGAGGAGAATTGGCCCTAAATGAGTGAGTGTGAATGGGAGAGGGAGGGAGCTGTCTGTGAGTAGAGGCTGTGATTAGGGAGGGGAGGGACAGCCCGTTTTCTGACAGGCTGCTTCCCTTCTGCTCCGCTCCCTCTCACACACCTCTCTTCCAATATCACCAGCTCCGGGGTTCTGCATCCCCCTCTAGCATGCATTCTCCTGATTTTGCTCACTTCTGTTTTTTATTCTTTTCTCCTCTTTCTCTCTCTGCCCAGTCCCTTGGCTTTCCCCTCTTTGATTTTCTGAAAGGGAAGTAAAAATCCCAACCCAAGGCACACTCTCAATCCACAATGCTGGCTTGATTTCGAAAGCGGGTCCTGGCACTCCTCCCCCGACCCTGGGCTCCGTGGTGTCCGCCTAGGTGACAGGTACCTGGGGGCAGCCATTCATTCTGCCAGGGGAATCCGGAGGAGATGCTCCTTTGCCCATTCATTCATATTTAAATGTTCAGGGTCCTCACCCCGGCAGGTTGCTAAGCAGAGCGCAAATGAACTTTTGTTTGGGGGTCACTGAGTACACTCTGCTCTAGCCAGCTAGGCAGGACAGCAGGGCACTAACAGAACTAAAGGGCAAGTGGCATTTTCTGTGCCCCGGAGGTGCCATCTCCTCTCCCCTCTGGCTGCCCCTCTCCAGGCTGGAAGGGCATTCAGGAATTGCAAGCTACCATCCCTTGCCCAGACTTCACAGATAAAATGCAAAATTCATTTGGCCTTTCCCACATTGTTTCATGAAAACAGTGTGCTCTCCTGACATGAATAACTGGCCCTGCAGAAAAGGAATCTCCAAAATATATTGGCAAATCAATTTTATCTGTCATAGGATAGTTTTTTCCAGCTTGACCCCTACCCAGTCCTGACCCGAAGATAGATGCCCAGAGAGTCTCCTAGCTTGCTTCTTCCCTGCACGGGAACAGCACAAATGAGATATGCACAGAAAAAGAAAGAAAGAAAAAAAGAAAGAAAGAAAGAAAGAAAGAAAGAAAGAAAGAAAGAAAGAAAGAAAGAAAGAAAGAAATTGTGCATTTTTAAACAATGCCTGAAGCTTTTTTTTTAAATTCCTCCCCCCATTCCTTTTTTTTTTTTTTTCTGTTCATTTTCTGTCTTATTGCTTTTATCTTGCAGAAGTATCTCTAAGGGTCCATCTGTTAAAGCTTTCCTTCCCTCTCGGTTTCTTTCCTACACATAAGCCCTCTTGGTTTCTGTAGATACAGTCAGCTTATATCTGACACCTAGTATATTCAGAGCGTTCCAGTCAAGCCAGGCAGTTTGGGTGAAAAGAGTTAAAATGTATCATTACTGCAAGCATAAGATCTGAGTACAGGAGGAAAAGAGAGAGAAAATTGTGAAACTAAGTAACATCACAGTTTGCCCAGGTGACAATGCTTCTTCTGCATGTATACACTGTCCTCTTTTCAAAAGCAACCATTTGTAAGCCTTTCTCTGTTAACATGCCTAACACCTTTGAGCTTTCAGCTCCAAGAACATCAGTTATTCTGCTATTATTGAAAAAACTTTGGCTCACATTGCCTGAAAAGTCTCTTTTGAAAGAAAGGATGGGTGAAAGGATGAGGGAAGCATTATAACTGCTAATAAACCATCTTTGTACTATAATATTTAACATCACCCACCTAATTGGAGCCATAGATATAGTACCTAAAGAATTCTGTAGTCCAATTAAGTTTTATGAGAGTCTGCAGTAGAACTAAAAGTTTAACGACTCCAAAGAACTCAAGAGTCCTAACAGAATCATTGAGATAAGTACAACTTATCAATATTTGGATTCTCTCTGCATGTGAGTATGTGTGTGTTCTGTACAATTTACTGTTTGCAAATGTAACTCTTAAAAATAGCTTTCTCTCTGGCATATGTACTTGTATATATGTGCTGAGTGGGTTGTATAAACACATAATCTATTTGCATGCCCTAAAACTATTAAAAGCTGCATTAACCTGCCTGAATAATAGGAAAAAGGTACAAATCACATTGCCCAGGGAAGTGCCAATAAGCTGTAAAATTCTTCCTAGCCATTCTGACTTGGAATTTGCAAAGAGCTCATAAGGAAGAATTAAAGAGAATTACCTTTCTGCTTATTCTCTTCCACCAGCCGGCTCTTGTATCATGTGGTAAGAGCTGTCTGAGCTCCTCTTCATGGTATTGGCACTGTGAAGTTTTATACTGTACTACTTATTTGTACACTAATACATTGGTACCTCTCAAAAGAGGAGGGCTGGGGCTTTGTTTGGGATTGGTTAGAACCAGCATGACATCAGCGGATGACTGGTTTTTCCAGAGTGAGACATTTCATAATTCATTATCTAATGGAAATCCCTCTTGCCTTCTGAGACACTACTGGGTCATGCACTGAGCCACTGATACCTCTGCTGTGACTAGTCTACCTTTTACAAAGATATTAAAATCAAATAGATTCAGCTCAGTGAATGTCCGACTTTCAACTGTTACTACTCACCACACACACACACACACACACACACACACACACACACACACACCCCTCCTGCTATATTCAGGTTCAGTATTATGTCCTTACATAAAACATCTGTTACTTCATGAACTTGCCTCTGTTTACAGAGTATTTTATTGTTTTTCACAGGGAAAATGTTTGTAGTGTTCTTAACAGGATTCTAATTTTATTTTATTTTTACATGAGCTATTTCTGAGAGAGAAAAAGGCAAATCTGTATGCTCCTAGGAGAGGAGCTCTGCTGACTGACACTATTATTTTACATATTGAAATAGAATGCTTTCTCTGTAAATCATGGAGCACCGAGAACTTGGGAAATATTCCTTCTCTGTAAGTGAACTCAAGTATCCTTCCCAGGTCTTTACAGTCCTATCCTAAGTAGCAAACATAAAATATTTTTAAAAATCATGCATTCTCATTTTTACCCACTTTAAGTGCAGTGTCACTAAATGTTATACATATGAGATTCATGAAAAGCAATGAACATTCCTTGAAATAGGGATAAAGTTGGAATTTCATGATTTTTTGGGGGGAGGGGTACCAGTAAATTGGGGAAATAATAGAATGAGGATTCTACAGACCAGAAAAGTGGAGAGAAGGTTGTTTGAAAGAGGAGAGTTGAAGCCCGAGCTGGGTTTGCATGACAAGCTGGATAAAATGTGCAAAATTGGGAGCTAATGAAAGCCATACGACCAGATATGTTGTTTTCTATGCGGGATTTAACATGCATAAAATAAACTTCTCACTGTGCCCACAAGCAAGACCCCTAGGCGCTGGCCTCCTAACGTGGGGTGAGTCAGGTAGGAGAGAGCAAGCCTTGCTGGGGAAGAAGGTCTCTCTTGGCTTAGTTACAGAGAAGGCGTGGGTGCTGGCTGTGTGTGGGGGAGGAGGAGAGGAGTATTCTAAGAACTGCATATGCAGTGCTGAAGTAGGAAATAAAGTCATTCGGTTGTAGGTTGTAGAGGAAGACAGGGAATGTGAGTGGCAAAGACAGAAATAGGATCAGTGACCGTGAACTCCCAGCCTGCATGGCAGTGTACAGTTGCTTGAACTTAAACTTCTATAAGAAAGGAACGTCCTTCTTATTTTTTAATGAGAGCTAGTGTAGGGCAATGACCTTTAAGAAATCTACTCACCCCTTGCCTCAGGTATGAGCCCTAGTGCCAAACAGTCGTGCCATGCCCCACATCATGGGGTGGAGGGCACAAAACAAACCTGACCAGACCTCAGTGTTCCTACTTCCTTGCATGGAAACTCGGGTCTCAGTGTTCCCATCTCTAAAATGGGATCCATAGAGCAGGACTCAGAGGATGATCCCTGATGTTATTCAGGAGGTTTGTGGTTCATCTGTGTCCGAGAAATGTGCAGCTCCTGACTCCAGGGTCCACTCCACACTTGCCACTCTCAGACCACCGCAGGGCGACAAACAGATGCCCCTGAAGTGCACACCTGCCTTGATGTCATGCTCCACCTGGACCCCTAGCCCAGGGACCCCACAGTGGGACAGCCTCCTTGCTCCGTGGGATTCAAGGTGCTGGAGGCGGAGGAAGCAGGCAGGTTAAATCCGCAAGGTCCTGCACTGAGAGTGGGATTTGCCTTGCGGAACTCAAGGGGGGGCTCAGGGCGCAAGCTGGTCAGCCAGCTCCCGACAGGCACCTCTTTTCTCCTGCTCCGTTTAGTTTCTCTTTCACTTCCTGCCCCCTCCCCCAGGCGTCCCCAGCACCCAGGCCCTCGGCCCCGCTCCGCCGCCTGCTACTGTACCTTGAGCAGCACCTGCTGGCGACTCCCAGAGATCACGCCGGAACGCGCTGCCTGAGCCCAGCTCGGGGCGCCTTCAGGGAGCCAGCGCCAAGCCGTTCCAAGCGGCCGTCTCTATTTTTACCCTGAGCACCCGCAAGGGCAACTTCTTTTAAGAACAGCTCTTGATTTTTTCCCCTTTTGGCAGCTCGAGAATTCAGGGAGGAGAATAAGAAAGAAAGAAAGGAAGAAAGAAAGAAAGAAAGAAAGAAAGAAAGAAAGAAAGAAAGAAAGAAAGAAAGAAAGAAAGAAAAGAGAGAAAGACAGGGGGGGAAAAAGAAAATAATTACTGCTCAGTGACTACAGTTGGGGAATCTGTAAACTCAGCCCTCACCCCGAGACCTGCGCGGGGTCCCCAGGACGCGGGCCGCGGGGCGCGCGCGTGCACCCCGCCCCCTCCCCATCGCTGAGCCTGTTGTTGGGTCCCCCCCAGCTACTGCGCCCGCAGAGTGGCCCGCTGCCACCGCCCCATTCACCTAGCGGAGGCGGGCTGATTTACTGGTTATTTCACAAAGCTCCCAACTCCAAGCCACAGCATATTTGTATGGCTCCGTGCAGCCACTAGCGAGCAGCTTGCTGCGACAGGGAGCCGGGAGGGAAACTGGTACCTTATTTTACTGTAATTGCAAAAGGAAAGATGTGCCAGAGATTTATATTTAGAAGTTGTATGTTTCTACTTTTATGTAAATGGAGCAATTAGGGCCTGTCTTGCTGCCGCTAACTCCACTGTTAGTGCCTTGTTGGGGAGGTGGTGTTTTCAATCACAATTAGTGAGCTGGTCAAAAAACAAAGTTCGTTTGAGGATAAGAGCTCAATTGTGTGCATGGGGGAAGAGTCCAGACTTCGGGTGCTGGCCTGTGGCTTGCAGGGACACATACTTAGGAGCGCCACTAACCCTATAGTGTAGTGGTGTTTACCCTTGCAAGCAGCTGTTCTCATGCAAAGTTGGCATAGATCACGAAGCAAGAATGTTCACTTTTCTTCTCGAGCAAACCGTATGTCCTTCGGCTTTCGTCCAGGCTATTAATTGGTGTCTTTGCTTGCTGCTCCTGGAACAAGGAGACAGGCCTGGAAACGGGGACCATTTCTCATGGCTCTGTTATTTTAGCTGCTACTCACGGATTGTTGTTATTCAGTCAAAAATGCAAGCCAGGGGACATGGACACCCCAAGCAGGTGACAGGGAAGTTGTTCTCTGATTCAGCTAAATGATATGAGGTGGGGGGTTCAGAGGCATGCACACGGCTGCTGAGGAGCTAGGGTGTTTTAGTTCCTGCCTATGAAAAAAAAAAAAAAATCTGTTTCCAAAAAGGCATGATTTCTGCCTCATCCAGCCTGGGAAACTGAACACAAAACGTGACTATGAAGAGAAATCAAAAGGACTCGAGAGGTGTTCTCCACAGCTGAGTGTTATTCTGGGCTCCAGCGGGAGGACCCGGCCTCATGGGTGGCTCCCTGGAGAGGAGGCTGAGGATCCAGAAACCGTGGGCAGAATCTAGGATGATATTTGCTGCAGTAGATTGCGGGAGTCAGTGACTAAGGCTGTCATCAAATGGTTTAAATCAAACACGGGATTGGCAAATCCTGCCTGTTTCCTGGACGGATGCAGGCTGCACAGAGCCTGGACCCAATCTTAGGGAGAAAAATTGGGGACAAAGATGGATCATCATCTCACAGTGAAAA